CTAAAACTAAAAATTCAAGTACCACCATGGCCTGAACCTGTTCAGCTTTTAAGCCATGGCACTTCAACTGATCCTTAAACAAAGAAAAAATCTCATGAACATCAAACTTGATTGCGGGCCACATGGAAATTGGCTACTTCCAGTCTAGCCTATAGGCCTGTTGGTCTCACATCCGAGTATTAAGCAGGTCCAACCCTGCTTAGCTTTTCTGAGATCTGCCAAGGTTAGCTACCCCTAATATATCTGTCACTTATTAAGAATTCTAAGGTATGGTCTGTAGAACCCGTGGAAGAACTACAAGAACTAGATAGCCAACCTGATGTTTTATAGAAGGCCCCAAGGTCCATCTTTGCAGCGAACCAGTTAAAAGCATATCTCTGTTAAGTGCTAATGCTGAGATAAGCAGACAAAAGGTTCAATTCAATACCAGGTGTGTGTGTGTGTGTGTGCATGTGTGCGTGTATATTCCTGTACTTACACTGTGCTTTGGGTAGTGGCTCTGTAATTGTATCTTTCACAGGTACCTTCTACAGATACTCATGAATTTCTTTCCTACCCTCAAACACAAGCTAGCATATAGCTGTTTGTCCTCATTTAACAACCACTCATTCAGTGACCGAAGTTACGACAGTGCTAAATGAGTGGTATTTATGACTGGTCCTTGTAGTTACAGCTGTCATAGCATCTCTGCAGTCATGTGATCGCGATTTGGGCACTTGGCGAATGGCTTGCAATTACAATGTAGCAGCATCCCATGGTCACGTGATCGCCCTTTGTGACCTTCCCTGCCAGCTTCCCACAAGCAAAGTCAACGGGGAAGCCAGCAGGAGGTTGCAAATGGTGACCGTGTGACATCGCGCTTAATGACGGCATGGGATTTGCTGAATGGTGGCAACCGGAAGTGCCGGAACTGCTGTCGCTAAGCAGCACAGTCACATAACGTTGCACTTTATGACAGTGTGGTTTAGCGACAGAATTTTTGATCCCAGTTGCCGTCATTAACTGAGGATTACCTGAACCAGATTTGAGAAAAATAAACAATCTTTCTAAAGGCGCTTCTCTTCAAATTTTGTGGAGAATTCCATTAGTATTCAGAATACCGCTCCTATCCAGCAGACGGTTAATTGCAACCAAGACTACAACACATTAAAAAAAAACACCTCGAAGCCCAGCTAGGGTACATATAACTTCAAGTGTTTCCTGCATAAATTCTTACATTCATATTCCATGCAGATTTCAAAATTAGCAAGTATCTCTCCAAGATTTAAAAAGGTAACGTGAATTTCAACACCATCTGCATTTATCCTTTCATAAATGCTCCTGGTCTCTCCTCAATTACAGCGGATAACTCTTTAACAGCTTCCAGTTACAGCAAATCTCTGCTAGTTTATCTGAATATATTACACAGCTTTTCATATTTACACTACAGACTTAAAATTCTTTTAAACCTTCTTCATATATTCATGACTTGCTATCACAGAAACCTGGGAGTAATTTTATGATATAACACGCAGTCTTTTTTCATGTAAAAGATAAAAGAGTTAACAATATTCTTTGGAGAAGCTGGGGCAACTAAATGGGTTTTGTAATTTAAATTTGTTTAAATTTGTAGTGTAATCTTAACTAGTGATCTGATGACCCTCTTGATCTGATACACGGATATAAAACGTGGCTTAGAAGTCCAAGTTGGAAACATATATTTAGAAGGGTTCATAGAGCAGTAGGGTGCACTGCCTTAAGGTAAGCAATTTGTTGTTGTTGTTGTTTAGTCGTTAAGTCGTGTCCGACTCTTCGTGACCCCATGAACCATACTGCGCCAGGCCTTCCTGTCCTTC